TGTATAGTTTACGTACCTGGTTAAAAATCAACTGACCATATATGAAATGGTCTATTTCTGGATTCTCTATTCTATTCTATTGATGCATATATCTGTCTTTATGCCATTCTGCTTTGATTACTATAGCCTTGTAATAAGTTTTGAAATCAGGAAGTATGAGACCTCTAACTTTGTTTTTCTTCAATAGTTTCATTTTATCAGCTTTATCTTTGATATTTTAAAAATGTTTTAAACCTAAAAAGTAACAAATAATATTCCCTTTTTATATTCAGGAAATAAGATTCAAATTTTAAATAACTTTAGCAATGTCTAGTGGTCTAATTCTTTTACTTTAGCCACTTTCTTATTTATCTATGGCCTAAAAAGCAAAGTGGTCATAGATTTACAAATAGAAGGAAATCCAAAAGGTCATCCCTCACTTCACATAGATATACAACCACTGGATAACCTAAAACAGTATTTTAAAACACCTCCAGAAAATAAAATTCCATAACCTTAGCACATAATCTAAAAAACCTTATTTTTTCTTAGCATATTAAGCTAAATGCAATTTGCCAAATATTTCTCACTTTTTTTTTAACCTCCATATCTTTACACATGCTGCTGCATCTTTATGAACACCTCTCTGCAACATGCCTCACCTTCCTATTCCTCATTGTCTAGACTTCAAGGCTTCTCAGTGGTAGTGTCACACCCTGGGGAGTGTTTGAAAAGCATGAAGGCTTTTTTTTTTTTTTAAAAAAATACAACTGGAAATTTCGAAAGCCAAGCAAACTGTCTGCAATGTAAGATTATCTTGCCCAAAATGCTCCCAGCACCCCTCCTGAGAAACAATGGCACCTAGCCAAACTCTACAAATTCCTCAGGAATCAGCAGAGGTACCATTTTTGGGGGGAATTCTATTCTGATTCATATAAATTGACTTAGTTACTGCTTTTATCTGCTTCTATAATAGGAGTATGCTGAACCTACCCCATCTTTATACCTATCACCATGTAAAATAATTAACTGTTTATGTGTCTGTTATGCCTACCAGAAAAAATTTACAATTTGTCCTGTGCTACAAAAATGGTAAAATCCTAAATGCTTAAATATTCTTACCAGAGTGAGCAACCCCACATGCTTTTTTGACAGGATCTGCAAAAATTATCGGTATACAGTCAGCACCAAGAGCTGCTATGGTGACTCCTCTCTGATTTGTGGTGATTCCATCATAAGATTCCGGCTCCTTCCTTCCCATAACCCAGACGTCATTGGCATGATCTGTCTAATACCAAAGATGTGCAATAAAAATGTTTTGAAAGTAGGATTTATCATACCATAAGCTTTTCTGAAAGTATTCATTTTGTACAAAATTATATAACCAGTTTAAGATTACTAGCATTTATTAAATATATCCCTTCTATATATGGTAAAAATACCAATTTATTATCATTTAACTTTTGTTATTATAATTTCTGTATATTTTATTCAAAGGAAAGCAGACTTTAACATGTTAAAATTCAATACTGTCCTTCATGAATACCTCCTACTAGAGTTGGGTCTCTACATGTAGTACTTTCCACAGTGAACTAATTCATTGAAAGAAATTAATTACCAAGTCAATGATACTTTTACTTTTCCTAGATTCAATTAAAACTAGGATTCTGTAACAAACAAAGCACTGTCTCATCAATTGTACCCTGGTGTTAACTTAGAAAAGAATGGCCTTTCTCTTCCACAGTTCAGGAACCTTTCTTCTAAATCAAAAAGGGCAGTCGTACTATATTCTCTGAGAGTTAACTGTACTCTTACATGTGAGGAGCTCCAGGTGAATATATACATATATATTCCCATAGAATTGTCATATATATGTGTGTGTACACACACACACACACACACACACATATTTTTAGGCTATGGTATACGAATCAAAAAACATCTACTCGAAGAATTATCCTAACGTTTTACATAAAACACCAGATGCAAAAATTAAATAGCTTGATTAAGGTCCATTAATCATTAGCAGAGTTAGTAATATACTTCAGATCTTCCAAAATATGAAACAATTTTACCTTTATTCTGTAAAATTTCTTCACATTAAATCCTGCAGCACTCCCCAACCTACGCAGATTTTCTTGAACAACTACCCGGGGATCTCTTCGTTTGGAGCTACTGAAGAGATTGAATGAGCTGAGAGTTGGTATGTAAGATATCCCACCTGTTCTTGTAGTAAATCCATGTATGAAAATGTCTGTTGAAGATAAGCAATGAAGATTATAAGTATGTTATACAAAAGACTATAAAAAGCATTAAAGACGCTATCTCTTGGAAAGACTTTCCCTGATCATTTCAGCCTGCTTTTGTTTATCTGGCACCTAATTTTTATAGCACTTTGTACGTCCGGATGTTCTTATTATACACTGCTTTGTGTTTGTTTTAACTTTCCTATGGGTTTATTGCTCTTCAAAGGGTATCATCTGTCCCATTTGTCTTTGTTATTCCCAATAGTCTATAGCTCATAATAAATATCATTTAACCAAGAAGATTGACTGTTTTAAATTTCACTATTCTGTAATGATGACAATGAGTTAAGATTTCAGAATTGCTAAACAGGAAATATCATTTAAAGGAAGCCTGGGGGTTTGTCTTAAAGCTAATTTGCATAAAGCAAATGTACTTATGTAGAGGGCTTTTAAGGGACTATCCCTTAATATCCCTAACACTACCAGACCACCCATGACATTCCCATGTTTCAACTGATGGTAATGAGCACATAAGCCCAGACAGTCTACAAAAGAAAGAAGGAAAAAAAGAAGTGAACAACTTCTAAAGAATGACCGGTTTTTCACATGCCTGGTGAAAACAACAGATAGTGTGTAATATACCTGAGATCAAAGGAGTTGTGAGAATGGTTAATTCTCCTTTCAGTGCCGGCAGACTTCTCAAATATGTTTCTATTTCATTCTGTATAGCTTCTAGTTCTTGAGTTGTGATCATGCTTATCTCAGTGGACTGTTTCAAAAGACCTCCCTTCAACGTTACCTGTAAATCTTCAAACTCAAAATTGTAAACATCAGTGAAGAGTTGATCAATAAAAGCCTTCATTAATGTCTTCCGGTGCATGGGTACCATTACCTTAATGCTGCTCAGGTTTTTTTCATCAATTTTCTGTTTAATGGTATACAAAGAGGCAGCCATACTGGGATTGCTAACAATCTCGAATTCTCTCAAGAGAGCTGACAATCCATTGGTTGTTTCTAATTCATAAGTATCCAGGTCACCGTTGCTTTCACAGCTGATGTTACTGCAACACATTATGCAAAGGAGCTTGGCCTTGGCAGCATGGTGGGATCTAACAGCATCCAATGTCTTCAGTAATGTCGGATAGTTTTTCTGAGAGTTCAATGTCAAACCAAATAGATCAATCAACACTGCTTCTGCCATCCTGCAGTAACTGTACAAAGCTCTTCAAAGAAGACTTTTGTGCCCCCCCCCCAAATCACCTGAAACAAAATATTAGCATAAATAAGAATGCAAAATTAGATCAATCCTATAGTTACAACAGAAATATATGGCTGGGGGAGGGGAAAAAAAGAATCGCATTGATCTAAAAATGTGACCAAAATTGTAACGCTAGACCCCACCCAGAAAAGTCAGAAAATTGTCATAAGAGAATCATGACAATTAAAGCAAAGCTATTTCCTAATTCATCTTCCAAAAGGATGTGTACATCTTTCCAGAAAGGGAACAGTTCCTCTGTTTTTGTTTTCATACAGGGAATTTTAAATAGGAATTTACCTGTTGACTTAGACAAAGTCCTGTTTTTTAACGACATGGCATCAATGTATGTGATATATCATCAATCCTGACATGACTGCCAGGGTCGGTCACATCCCTTCATGAGAAATACGGGGGCCTTGCATTCAGCAGGTTAAACGGAGCCGCACTTTAAAAATCGCGTTTTTAAGAGATAAAAGCCGAAGTGACTATGCATTTCTCGCCAGGGTTGACACAGTCCCCAGGCACGGCCATTGCCACAGAGCCGCTGGGATTGTGCGAGAGACCCTGCTGCCCGCTCCCTCCGCCTCCTCCTCACCTCCCGTCCTCCCGCCCGGGTCTGGACCCGCTCCGCCCTCACAGGGAACCGGGGTAAGTCCAGCAGCGCTCAGAGAGTTCGCAGTCAGCTTTCTCCTCTGCGGGGCTTAGAGAACATGAATTCACATGCTAAGCAGAGCGACAAGCAGAGCTTCCCTTGGTATGAAGGAGCCAGCCCTATGCGTGCTCAGTGGGCAGAAACTACACAGTTCTATCCGATTAAAAAATGCACCGGCATGGCAGGGAGAGGATGGGCTATCTGGTCTCCGACCCACAAGGTCAGACGCTAAGGTTATCGTCCCCATTATTCAAGCAGGCGAGGGCAGGCTAGAAAGCAAAGTTATTTTTTTTT